ACTGTTCCCTAATTACGCCAGGTGACCAGCCTATACTGGATCTTAGGAGGGGGGGGGGGAGAGGGAGGAAGAGAGAAGGGGAGTCGAAAGGCGAAAGACAACAGGAGGAGGAGAAAGAGAGAGAGAAAGGCGCGGAAACATCGGTGGCCGCGAGCAGGGATCCCCCTCGGATGGAGCCACGGTACCGCTACGTCCCGTGGCCAATCACGCGCCTCGTTTATACGAGCGCGGCCAATCGGCGGCCACGTTTAAACGGCAAACGAACGCGTCCACCACCCGGCCGGCTCCGTTTATAAAGTGAGCCCGATGCGCCGCCTCGAAGACAGAGCCGTGCCGACAGTCCAGCCACCAGGAACGTTTTTTTTTTTTTGGCTCTTTTTTTTTTCGACCAATCTCGAGAAAGAGAGGAGTAACAATCGCGTGTGATTAGAGATCGATCGACCGGTGAACACCTCTTTCTTCGGTGATTCTCTCCTTTCCGAGATCCCTTTCCCTTCCCCCAAAGATCGTCGTTTCCTCTCCCAAGTCTTAGTGATAAGAAGAGAGTGATAAGGGAGAGGAGAGCTGGTGAACCGAAGAGAGAAGGACAGGAGGAACGTGTTGAGGATTTCCGTTCAAGGTACGTGGGTACCAAAAGTGTTTCTTTCATTTGGTGCAGGAGGAGGAGGAGGAAGGAGGAGATCGAGGTGATGGGATTCTACGAGTGCGCGTAGACGGTGACGAGGATTCTTGAGGAGAGAGAAAAAAGGGTGGGAGGGGACGAGCCGGTCGAAACGATCTCCCTTTGGATTCGATTCACAGACACGATTTTTGTAAGCTATGTAAATTGTAACGATCGATGCTTCTTTTCTTCGAAAACAAATATTTGTAACCGAACTTGTCGTTATCCTTGCAAGATTTGATTGATCTTATCGAGTGCGAAGTGATGAAAAACCGTGACAAGAATCTTCCTCGCCGTTGCTCTTATCAGATTCAGATTCGCGGATTAACAAATTAATCGCGAAAGTATTCCAAAATTCGATCCAAACTATAAAAAGAAAAAATAAGTTTCCCCATTCGAAATTCAACGTACTTTGAACGTTGAATTCCTTCCTCGAATGGATTAAAATCGATCAATTCGAGTAATTGGATGAAATTTTCTTAACGAAAAAAAGAGAAGAAATATAATTATTGGTGCCCGGGATCAACGGTTTGTAAGGAAGAAGCAAAGGAGAGCAAATTAGAAAAAGGCGATGGCGAAGAAGGATGATCGATCGGGGCGAATAAAAGTTGGCGAGCTCGACGCCTCGTGGTCGCCATTCCCACGGTGAGAGTCGAGCGCGGTTCAAAGTCAGGGCCGCGTGTTGGGCAACGGCCGAGACCCGTAATATCGAACGAAGCCGCGCATAAAACGCGTTTCACAGCCATTCTCGTTTCACCGCGCGTTCGAATCGCCGGCTAAACCCAGCCGAACCGATTCCAAGATTTTGCTCCAAGGATTTGATTTCGTTGCTAATCTTTTTTCATTCTTCTTATCGTTCGATTCGTTCGAGCGATGTGAATCGAATAAAAATGGCAATTATCGATTCTAGGTCAGACTAAAAATTGATCGAGTATTTGAGTCATCTCGAGTAACGTTCGAATCGTTCGTTATTCCTGGCAGGTAGTCGATTTCGTGTCGGCCCGCGACACCGGCCGAATATTCATGCTGGTACCGTGTCACGAGTCCGTCGACCCGCCCAATAACACAATTCCAAATAAATAGCTACGAAAAGAATATCATATATTTTTCAACTGAATTAATAATATCAGGTTTTCACAAATATATATTTTATACACTCTTGACCAAAAATGTGTCTACCGTTCATCTTCTCTTTCTCTTTAAAATCGAAGATGTTGTGTATATATTTATGAAACTTATAACGCAGCAACCAAGCCAAAAAATAAACTTTTCACTTTCCTCGTAATAATTTTGTAAAAAAAAAAAAGAAAAAGTAAAAATAAGATAAAAACGGACGAGATCGTTCTCAGAGAAAGAAAAGAAAGAGGGAGAAAAAAAAAAAAGAAAAAAAGATGGAATCTTGGGCGAGCAGGTGCGCCTTTCCCAACGTGGAGCCGCGCTCGAAGCGCGGTGAGTTCAATGCCAGAAGAGGCGGTACGCGTGTATCCAGCCAAGAGTGCGTCGTTATTCCGCGTGCCAAAGATTACGAATCATCGAACGGAGGAAGTGGTTGTGGCTGAACAGTGTCGTCGATTATCTCTTTCTCTCTTTCGAGAGAGTGAAAAACAGTTGAGAGAGCAACGATACGACTTGTTTTATTGGCTCAAAAGGAGGAGGAGGATGGAGCACGGACAGTTTCAGGGTAAACTCAGAGAAAACCCGTCTCTCGAGTAACGAAATCCTCGGTGGAAACAATGGTGTGGGCGGATCCGAAGGAAAGTGTAATTGGTGAGCGGAAACGTTCCAAAGAAGCTTCGAGCTCGCACGAAAAAGTTCAACAACCATTAAATCATGGGGCGAGTGTGTATATTTAATTGCGTAACTCGGAGCGCGCTTAATTACGTTTGTGTCACGCACGTCTTGCGCCGCGAAGAAAGAATCCTTGATTAAACAACAACGTCTGAGAAAAACAATGAGACGTGGTATTAGCGCACCAAAGCTCGTCTCGAAGGAATAAGAAATAACGAAGAAGTATACGATTTGGATTATATATGATGGAGTTAATAATTTGAAAATTAAAGCCTCGAGAGTTCTATTATTACGGGGGACCAGTTTTAGACTTGTTCAGGTGTTATTAATGTATAAGATGTGCGTTTTATTACAACGAAAATGGGAACGAGACGAATATTATTCGTCGCAGATTTAATCTCTTTAATAGGATTTCGCGAGAAACATTTTGAAAACGTTTTCTTCTTCGACTTTTTATATTTAGAACCAATCTTGGTAATCTTGGGGGAAAAAACACTTGGAACACCTGTATTTAAATGACGAAGCGCGTTTTGCTGAAACGATTGCAAAAGAAAAAAAAAAAATAGAGGAAACGCTTGAATTCGTGTCTCCGGGATCTGACGCAGCATCCGAGCGGACTCTTTCTTCCTTCTTCGAAACTTCGAACTTGGAACGGAAGGTTAACCGTGGACGACGCAAACGCGAGGAGAGGGGCGAGGAAGCTTGGCCTGCCGTGACGAACTCCCTTCATCATCACCGGGTACCATCATCATCAAAGCGATCATCATCGGTGGCGATCGTTTCTCTATACTTTTCTCTCGGCACGGACTCGTTTCTCGCTTTTATCGCAGCCACGAATCACGCCGGGTTCACCGCCACCGCGTCACCCCGCAGCAACAAAGTTGAACGAACTTGAAGATGCGGGGGATCCTTCCTCCCGCTGCTTTTCAAACTCTTAATTTTCGAAAATTGACAAAGTCGATTATAACAAGATCTTATATATATTTTATATCTACGAGAAATCTCTCTCTCTCAACCCGAGTGAAACAATTGAAATAATCCATAAAAATGGCACCCTAAAAAAATGGCACCCTTAAAAATGGCACCCTAAAAAATGGCACCCTTAAAAAATGGCACCCTTAAAAAAATGGCACCCGTGCCACCCAAGTCACGCAGCTTAATTGCCTCTGACAAGCGCCTCCCCGCCCCGATTATCGCCCCAACACCGATCTCGATCCCTCCCGAGATAATAATAAGCGCCGGAGAAAAACGAAAAAGCGGGGACGAGCCACGCCCGCGAGATAGGGGCGTCTCGTCTCCCCCTGGGGGCGACAAGCGCGCCCTTTTTTTCCATTCATTCGCGCCTTGCGTATCTTCGCCTTCATTCTCCTCCTTCCTCTCCTTCCTTTTTTCTTCTTCCTTTTTTTTCCCCCTCTTTCTTCCCCCCTTTTTCCCCGGACTCGCGACCTGCCCCACTATCCCGCCGATGCCGGCCGATCTTGCAGGCGCCGCCTGGCCGTTGACCCCGCCACGACCATGCCTACGGCCCTGACCATCTCTCGCCAATCTCTCATGCCGCCGCGCATCTCGCCTCTCTCCTTCTACATCCCCTTCTCCTCCACTCTCGTGATTTTATCCCCCGCGAAAATACTCTCCTGGAACCGGCCTATGCTATCTCGTGCGTTTCGAGCGTGAAGGGAGCACAGGTGCGTCCACATTTCTCGCGAATATCGGAAGGGGTTTGCTCTGTATGAAAATTTAAAGAGGGGTAGAGGAGAGGAGAGGCGTTCCTTTTTTCTTTCCGTTTCAAAGGGTATCTCTGGATCGAATCGATTTGTTCCGTGGCTTTTGTCTAGAAATGCATACATAATCGGGATAATCAGTTTTCTTTTTGCACTTAATTTCATTTTCTCGCGCCAACTATTATGCGTATAACGAAAAATGGTTGAATGGTCTCTGGTAATGGATATCAGATGGAAAGAGTTTGGATGATCCGATCAACCACTGGAATGGAAACGGCGACCCGTCAGTCGTTCGAAGATATATGTGAACCGCATAACGGATGTCAGGGATTCATAAGTGACACGCGTGGAATGTCGTAACGAACGACCGGTTGCCGGAGAGTCGAACGAATTCTCATTTGCGAACAATGAGCAGGGATCCATAAGGTTTAGAAATTGCGTGGAACGTAACGGATGTATTACGACCGTGGTGTGTTTATCCCGTGATTAACAGGCCCGACACATGCGCGCATCAAGTTTTTCTTCGATCGAGTTGCTTCGATAACGAGAAAGAAAGAAAGAATGGAGAAAAATGGATCGTTTCTCCAAATCGTCCAGGATCGATCGAAGAGCATCGGAGGTTAAGCTGGAATCATCTTGGAATCATTGGAAATATTCGTTTTTTGTTACTTCATAATTCGAAATTATTATCAAGAGGATTAAGTTGTGATCGTTATTACATATAAACTTTTTATAAAAATAATTGAAAGAGCGCGTATATAATGAATCTTTTTCCGAAATAGAAATAATCGTCGAAAAATTCAAGGTTGAAGGAGGATACGAGCGTAAAGAGAATGCATTTAAAGCCCTCTCTCATTACGGCTAACAATATCCTCGAACAATATCCTCCGTTCTATCTCTGCTATCTCTTCCGCCCTTAATCAGTAACGCTCAATTTCTAACTCGTAATTTGCGCGTGTGTACACGGTCGAAAGGAAGAAGGTAAAGCGTCGGCGGGAAAGTGAAAAGGAAGCGAAGGGGAAACCAATTACTCGGCCAACGATTAGTTCTCTAAAACACACCACCGTCTTTATCGACCGAGCGGCGGAATCGTCGATACAAATGGGAAGAGGATCGATCAGTGGAGTCGAGTAATATCGAGTGGAAATGGAATGAGCGTTACATACACGAGAGAATAATAATTTCAATTTTACGCGGCGACAACACTTTTTATCGAAAAAATAAATAATACGTAATCTCGAAATACTTGCTCCGATCACACTTGTCTAGCCCTAAACGATGATAAAGATTTAATAAAAGGCGAAAAATTGGGATTATTCGTTGGCGAGGAGGAGGCGTTATTCGTAAAGGGGAACGAACTCGGCGAGAGAAAGAAAAAGAGGGAGGGAAGGAGAGGCGACAGCTCATTATCGAACACTTAGCACGTTTTAAAGCCACTTCCTGGCCATACTGTACAGATAGTGTAGGCGCATCTGTTCGATTCACTCGGTTCAGCCTTTAATGATTCGTCCGTCGGCTATCGTCGGCATTTCCTTGCGATTACGGGCGAGGAAAAACGCTATCCCTTCGCCGTATCTCTTCGTCTAAAAATAGAATGAACCTCCTCTCGGGAAATAAAATAAAACTCCATGAAAGGAGAGGGAAAAAGTTTTAACTTTCGAGCGATTCGGATAATTTCTCTCGTTTGTTGTATGTACAAGATATCTGGGAACGTATGCATTTTAATTGTTTAGAGGAGCTCTCCTTGGATGCAGATATTATTATTACTATTGTGTTCCAAGCGAGAAAGCAATTATACTTTATAATTATAAACTAATATAACTTTTTTGAAAGTGGCGGGGGAGAAAATTAGGTTGGAAATTCTCTTTCACCTATTCTCTCTCTTCTTCCTATCTTCTCCAGACTTTTTCACGAGGATGAATTCAACTCAACTTCCAAATTATTAAAATCGACACAAAAAAATCGCAAACTCTTGAAAAATTGCCATTTTCTGAAAATGAGATAACGAATGAGAGGAGATTTCGGCTTCAAAAAGAAAGAGAGAAAAGAAAATATCACGTGTAATTTGATGTGATACACGGAGGGATAATCGGTCCTCTCGAGAGCACGACCACTTTTGCCGATCTGGTTAATACCATCTGGTTGGCTCAATCGTTAAATCGAGGAGCGTACGAAGAAGGATCAATGAACCAGAAGGCACGGCCTATCCCTCTTAACCGTCCTCCGTAACAAGCCGTGCCCTTAGGCCTGTTTCGCACGTAGTGCATAATTAATATCGGCGCGGACATCCATTATAATATAAAACAACTATTGCACAACTCGTTTTCGATACAATTGTATTTCGATAATATATCACATTTGGATTCACTTTTTCGAATCGAAATTTCGAAACGGTGTTCTCCTTCGAGATTTCCTTTTTTTTTTTTAACTTATTCTATTTTTTAGAAAAAAAAAACGTGTTCTGATTAAAAGATTAAAAAATCGAAATCTTCGAGTATACTTTTTTCCTTTTTTTTTTTTTCCCTCTAATTCTCGACAACGACCTATGCAACAGAAGAATAACACTTACCATAATACAAATAATCGTCTTTACGACTAGGTAATTATATGTTCTATTGGTAAAACAGTTAAGAGGTTAATGAATTGTGAAATATACTCGTTAACTATTCCCAGATATTCTCTCTCGGGATAATCTTCGCGATTTTATTTATAATTACAATTATTACCTAATCTGTTTAATTTTTTTTTTAAAAATCGCGCGCCGATAAATATTATATTATACGAGTAATACACTTTATCCTCCGAGTGTATCGTGACTTATTTTCGAAGAATTTTAGAAGTTTCTTTCGAACCACCCTCGCTCGTAAGCTTTGGGCCAAATATGTTGGGTAAAACGGTTCTACCGGTCTTCGATCCGGTTTCGCCCGCCCCACTGCACTGAAAACACACTTTGCTCCTCTCGTTGTTTCCAGATTTCTTCAATTTCCCCCCCATCCATCCATCTCTTTCGAACATTCGAATGTTAGAATTAAAAATTATTTCCATCGATAAATTACGATGAAGAGTCTTAGTCAGAAAATTTTTTTAATTAAAAAAATCTCGGAGGAACAGTTATTAAAGGGAAAAAACATTTCGACTTATAACGGTTGCACGAGTTATAAAACGCGTTATATCTATAAATTAAATCTTCTGTGAGAAACGATTATACAATCCAGGGAATCAATTACATTATCCGTCGTTGTTCTCGAACGAAAAAATGGTATCCCACCGGTTGTTTTTTTTTCCACGCGTTGAAAAACCACGAGAGCGGAATATCCGGGCGGATCGATCCGATTCGAGAACAACGTTTCGCCGCAGCCCGTTAGAAGGCCGAAACCGTGTCGTTCGCGGAAAGAACGCCGGAAAGAAAAAGCCGGTTCCTGTTCACCGATCAAGCGCCGCCACTCGTTGGAAGGAAGTGTTACGAGGTGTCGTTCGTCGTTGCACAGGTATTTATTTATCGCGGCCGACGAAGACGAACTCTTCCTTCCTTTCGAGCGATTCTTTTTATTCGGATGTGTTGGCGTGAAAAAAAAAAAAAAAGAAGAGAAATGTATTCCATTTGCTAAAAATACGAAATAATACGTTTCTGATATTTCACGTTTACTCGGCCGAGAGAAAGAGGTTTTATATGCGCGCGTAGAGATTGTTATTTGTTTAACCCGAGTGACTTGTAACGTGTCTCTCGTGTTATTTGTTTTAAAAACCCAACGAGGAGAGAGAGAGAGAGAGAGGAGGAGAGGAGGGAAGGGAAGAAGGGTGTCGATTCGTTTGGCTATTAATATTTCACGTTTTCTACTTCTCAACGATTGGTAATAAATTTTTACAACGACGATATCCAATTATCAGGAATTATTTTTCAATGAACAGGGTCGAGATCCACCGAGTCCAATATACTTTACCACGAAACGATAATTTTCACGCTAACTCTTTTCCTTGCAAAAAGAGAAATCGAGAAGGATGCGATACGTCTGATTAGACCCGTGTACGCGCTATGGGAAGAACAAAGGAGAACGAGGTCAGAACAGATCCCCGAGATGCCCTATTTCCACGCCCACGTGACGTAGCGGTTGTTAGAGTTATCGCAGTAGTCGCGAGAAAAAAACCCCGATTACCGTTCAGCCAGGTATCAAACGGCTCGACGTTTGCTCGAATCGCAAGTTCCCTCCACCAGTAAGGTTGATCCCCGCCATTTATGGGACGCGCCGCTCGATAAACCGAATACGGTGGCTCGTTGCCTCGATCTCGAACGCTTTTCCGGGATCGCGACGAGGCTCGTTAACTCGCCTCTTTGAATTTCATTTCAGCACGATGAAACTAATAGAGAAGTGTACGTAATTTCTCTTTAGTTAGTTCAAATTTTCGAGAAATCATTACTAAAATAACTTAATAACCGTTTTTTTTTTTTTAACCAGTTTTTTCATCGCTTCATTGTTACTTTCAACCGGCTCGAATCTAGGGGGAGCATCGTTCGCTCGAAAGCACCGCTACATTGGTCGTCGATTCACGCATGCGCGTAATATAAGAAAGGAGGGGAATTCTGGCGCGCGATGATCGAGGTATGTTAAGTGAGCCCGTGATAGAGTGCGCGCAACGAGAGGTGTGGAGGAGACGGATAGGGGAAAAGAGGGACACGAAGGAGAATATTGGTTCGAGCGTTTGTGGACCGCGCAACGGTAACCGTTTCTCCCGGCCGAGGATCGTGAGGCTTGCGTTCGAACACCGTTACACTTATGAACTCCGTGAAACGCTCGACCTTAGTTATCGGTGTTGGCGAGGCCATGGCCGCGGCCGCCCACCGCTCGCCTTTATTCCCCTGGCGAAACGGGTGTTCCCGTTAACCCGTTGTTTTCATTTCCCTGCGAATCTCGTCTACTTCTCGCCGACTAGTGGCTCGCTCTGTCGTGGCTGCCACCGCGAGAGGGCAGAGGTGAAGGAGTATGTATGTAGGACGAGGTAGTAATCGTGAGTAACCGTGAGTTTGAATGGGCGGTGTAATGAATAGGAAGTGTTGTGGAGTGGAGTAATGGTGGATCTTTTTGGCGTAGGAAGATTTCGTTTCTACGTATAATATCAATACCGAAGAATAATGGAAATGTTGGTCTTTTGCCACAAATTGTGGGCGAAAATGTTTTTTTAAAACGTCTATTTGACGTTTAGTAGTATATTTGTTTTAATCTCAACAACGTGATCAAGATGCACGCGAAAAGGGAGAAGTGGAGAATCTCATCCTTAACCCTAATTATCTAACGTTGCAACGCGGTCCATTCGTATCGACGTGATACGAAAAATTTGTATTAAAAATATTAAAAATTATATCATCTTGCGTGAATTCTTTTTGTAACGAAACCTCCAAAAAAAGGAAGCTCCGATAACAATAACGAGAGACAATAAAAAAAATATACCAAATATCAATTTTCACGATAAATTGATCGAGCATATCGTAAAAGCGTGTTTCCGTGCTCGCGGTTGCTCGAATACTGCGCGGTCGTTCGATCGAGGAGCGGTATTCAAAATATTATGTCGACCGAACGACGAACTCGATAGAATTTTCATTCATTAACACAGGAGATCCCCTCCTCTTTTTTTCCTTTTCACGCACCTCGAACGAGATTTACGATAAAATATAAAAAAAATTGATTCGAATAAATATATATAATAACATATATATATA